CCCCGCCCCCCTCCCCCGTGGCCTCCATCCCTGTCCGTGGTGCTGATGGTGCTGGTGGAGAGGAAATCGCTGAGGGCCGGGGGGAGTCCCTGAGCCTTAGGATGCTGGTCATTTCCAGAGTGTTGACCGCCGCCTTCCCTGAGGAGCACACATACGTCCACACTCGTGCCCGGAGGGCAGGCAGAGGGTCGCGGCTGCCCGTGTGTTCCCTTTCCGGCCGCAAGTGCCCCGGGGGCCGCTGTGCATCTGCAGACTTTCTCCCCCGGGAGGATGCATTCCTTCAGGCTGGGGACACATCCACTCAGTGTCACGTGCCCACTGGAGGGGGCTGTGCTGGCGAGGCTCCAGCGTGAAGGGGAGACTGCTCTTTTGACTTGAGTGCCCTCGGTGGGCGAGCAGCGGCCGATTCCCCTTCTGTCTTCCTTGGTGAGAGCTGGAAGGTGTCCCCAGCAAGCCGCTGGTACACTCACCACCACCACCACCACCCCTGCCCTGAGCTCACCTCTGGGCGCCCAGGGTGGGGGGCTGGTGGGGGGACAGCGAGAAGGCCCTGACTCTGCGGGGTCTGGGGCCTGCCCACTGACCCCTGGTGGCCACAGTCCCGGTGTGCGGTGAGCTCCGGGGGCACAGGAAGACCCGTGTGCAGAGTTTGCCTTGTGAGCTGTGGCTTGTTTGTGGTCCCTGCCTGTCCTGGTGCCCAGCTCACATTGGTGACCCTGCTTGTCCACGCCCTGCTCGCTTTCAGGGGACGACAGGTGCTTCCTGTTCTCCACCTCCCCCCGCATGGCTGTGTATACCTCCACGGGCTACAACGACCACTACATGTACCTGAATCACGGGCAGCAGACCATCCCAAACGGCCTGGTAAGGACTTGAGGAGAGCAGGGGACGTGCCACCTTGGTGCTGTCCTTCCTGCAGCGGGGCCAGTCCCGACGTGCCCAGGCCGACGCTCTCCCCGCGAGCCAGGGGAGCCGTATGCGCTGGGTCGCGTGCGTGGGCCGTGTTCATTCTGCGCGGGTCTCCGTGCTGGCGTGACAGCTGGGACGGAAGTCTCTCCTGCACGGTCGGGGTGTGTGTCAGTGGCTGGTGTGCAAACGGTGGACGCGGCCAGTTTTCCCGGGGTCAGCTGGCCGGCCCGTGGCCTTTGTGGCTGGCGATGAGCTGGGGGAGGGGCACGCCCTGACCCGGGTCCCGCCCCGGACCCATCGGGCGTTGTCAGTGGGCGACTCACAAAACCGGGGCTCCAGTCAGGGTGAACACACCTCCTATCTGCTCTGTGCGGCGGCCCGAGACTCAGCCACGGGAGGAAGACGGTGGGGGTGAAGGCCAAGGGTGGGTGGGGGGAGTGGGAGCTGGGTCGGGTGCCCACCAACGGGCCCCCACCTGTACCTGTGAGCCAGCTTGGTTCGCGTGACAAACGGGTCCCCTGCCAGCTGTCTCTTTTCTCTGCTTCTTAACACAAAGCAGCTTTCGGGAAACTCCAGCTCTGTGCTCGCAGGTCCACCTTGTCCCGACGGAGACGGCCCCCGTGTTCCTTCCCAGGCTGCTGCAGGGCCCCCGCGGGGCCGCCTGAGGACCCTGGAAAGGGCAGTTGGGTGGTCTCCGGAGCAGCACCCAGTGGGTCCTCAGTAATCAGCCCGAGAGAGAGGCAGCTCTGAGAGTCGGCAGCTCCTGCTGTGGTCTCTCGCTCAACTTCAGTCGCCCGCCACCAGGGGCGCCAGAGGGCGGAGGTGGCAGGGACGTCGGGGAAGGTCATCCAGGAGGCTGACGGGCAGTTCGGTCCCCGGCCGCCTGCTGAGCGTGACCACGTGGCGGCGGGCGGGGATCGCCCCGGGTCTGCTTCCTATGTCTGGTCCCTGCGGTCGCCCGCACCCGGTAGGCGACGGGCAGTGTCCCGGTCTGAGCGAGCCAGGCACCTGTCCAGGGCTCCGGACGCGGGTTTTCCAACCTCGGGATCCGTGCTGACCTCGCGCCTCCTCCTTTCGCGGTTGGAGTCTCGGGGCCGTGGCCTCAGGTTTTGGGCGTGCTCTGCTGTCACTGGTGCCCCCGGCCGGCGCGGCCCCGGGAGGAGGCGCCGCAATGACCGTCTTAGCGGCTTGGGACGGGTGCCGGGATGCTGAAATTGCCGCGCTGTGAGTTTCGCAGTTAAAAAAAGGCGGAGGAATAACCGCATCCGTCTCTGAGCCGCCTGGTCTCCGTCTGCGGCTTAAGGCAGGGGCGAGCGGGGCGTCGGACGGAGGAGGCGCTGACGCTCGGCCCCCACCCCCCGCAGGGCATGGGCGGACAGCACAATTACTTTGGGCTGTGGGTTGATGTCGATTTCGGGAAAGGACACAGCAAGGCCAAGCCCAAGTGCACCACGTACCACAGCCCTCAGCTCTCCGCCCAGGAGGACTTCCGGTTTGAGAAGATGGAGGTGTGGGCAGTGGGCGAGGCGCCGGGCTCGCAGCAGGTGAGCGCGGGCCGTCGCTCCGCGGGCCGTCTCTCCGCTCACGGCGTCTCTGCCCTCCGTGTTCTGTCTCTCCCCTCTCCGCGTGTCGCGTGTCGTCTCTCCCCGGGTCGTCTCTCCTCTCCCCGCGTCTCTGCCCTCCGTGTGCTGTCTCTCCCCTTTCCACGTGTTGCATGTCGTCTCTCCGTGGGCCATCTCTCCTCTCTCCGCGTGTCGCCTGTCTCTCTGCTCTCTGCATGTCGCCTGTCGTCTCTCCGTGTGCTGTCTGTCCGCTCTCTGCGCGCTGCCCCTGTGCTCCTGCATCTGGAGGCGGTTTATCCGGAACTCATTCCCAGCGGCTGCTGCTGGACCGAGAGATGCCCGCGGGTGAAGGGCAGAGCTCGGAGTCCTGTCGGGCTCCATGCGGTTTGGTGGAGGAAACCGGTTCTGGAACAGGGCCCTGCCCCAGGTGGGAACCCGGGCGGGTGCACAGACCGTCTGCAAGACGAGGGGGCTCTGGGGTTCCTTCTCGTTCCGGGGTCCTGCGATGGGCCCTGCGATGGGCCCTCTGCCCCTCATGACCCCCAACGATGGTTCCCAGGCTGGGGGGCACCTCACTGAGGGCGCCACAGCCCCCACTGTGTTCTCCTTGTGGCCAACAGTGGGATACTGATCCTGCTGTCATGAGCTTGAAGTCAGCAGGATGTTCCTGCTTGTCCCCGGCTGTCGGGGAGACGCTCACCTCCCTTCCCTTCTTCCCAAGGCCCAGAGGAACAGGAGCATCCTGGCTGTGGACCCTGAGGCCCAGGCGCTGCTGGAGATCATCGGGCGCCCTCGCCACAGCCAAGGGCTCCAGGACGTCCCGGAGGATGAGTGAGGAGCCCCCCGGGCTCGGGCCTCCCCAGAGCTGGATCCCGGCTGCCCTGTGCAGGGCACAGCCTGCAGACCCCTCCCTCTGTCGCACGTGCTCAAGTTCAACACAGAGCCATGCTGGTCACGTCCGGGACCACCCGGAATGCAGTAAAATTCCTTTGCTGCCGTATACGGATTGGTCAGTGCCTCTCCCAGAAGTCCCGAGGGCCAGCAACCTGGTCCTTGTGTTGTTTCTTGCCGAGGCAATCCGGGGACACAGACGCCAAGGCCTCTGCCGGGCATTTGACGGGCACGTGCCTTCCTGCCGCGCAGGACGGGTTCCATGTGCCGGGGGCGCTTGGCCTCTGCTCAGGACCCTGCAGCCGAAACCATGCCTTGATGTTGCATTTCAGCTGGTCAAGGGCAGAGGCATTGGGGTGTGGGTCTCCGCGCTTTTGGGGAGCAGCTTCCCCTGACATGAAATTTCTGTGTTGATAAAGCAGCACAAACAGTGCGCTGGTGGGGGGGGGGCGGCGGGGAGAGCCAAAGACTCGGGAGAGAGCAGGTGTCCCCGTGTGACAGGTCCTCAGTGGTTTGCAACCGGGCTCCACATCCGCCCTTCTCAGCTGGTTTTAAAGGAGCCTGTGCCATGATCTACGGATCACTGCCAAGGTGTGGTTCTGTCACCGATTTAAACGTGGGGAGGGCGGAAGCCCCGCCACGTCCCGTTGCATAAACTGGTGGTGAGTCACTGGGAAGTACTGACCCGGGTTCCTGACCCTGGCACCGCCTCCTCGGTGTCACCCCCTGGCCCAGAGTGGCTCCCAGAGGGGGGTGACGGGCCATTCGATAGCAGGGACTCACTTTGAACCAACTCAAGTGACCCCGGCTGCTAACTGCGATCTCGGTGGGTGTCTGAGACGGGCCGGAGGAAACCAGCCGCACTGAGAAGTCCTTCCCCGAAGAGCTGTGGGCTCGTCTCCAGAACACGTATCTCTTCCTCGCCTCTCTCTCCGTAGACTTTTCACTTTCTGCAGATCTGACGAAGAACGTGACCCCTTATGATCGACATCGCCGGATTCTAAGCCATCGTCAACTGAGCTGTGGGCATTTTTCAGCTTCTGCTTTTGCTGCCAGGAGGCTCCTCCAACTTTGCACTCGGCAGTTCCCCCCCGGCCGAGCGGAGGGCCTTGCAAACTAGAAGGCACGCGCGTGCCCGGCCAGCGCGCAGAGGGACAGCGGCCTGACACAGACTTAGTCACTGTTGATTCTGCTTAAAAAAGCCAGCTTTTAATAAGCTTCTCTGGTACGTTGTGTGCTGTTCTCAGCTGCTGGGATCCCAGGCACAGGACATTAGGATCCTCAGATCTCTCTGTAGTAAGTTCTATTTATTACTGTAAATCCAAAGAGTTAGGTAGGTTCTGCACCTTCAGTTTGTTGAGGAATTTGCTTTCACGGAAAGGAAACTAGGGGCGCCTGGGTGGCTCAGTCGGTCGGGCGTCCGACTTCAGCCCAGGTCACCATGTCAAGGTTCGTGGGGTCGAGCCCTGCGTCGGGCTCTGTGCCGACAGCTCGGAGCCTGGGGCCTGCTTCCGATTCTGTGTCTCCCTCTCTCTGCCCCTCTCCCACTCACGCTCTGTCTCTCTCAAAAAGGAGCAAATATAAAAAACATTTTTTTTTGTCAATGCAACTCCATACCTCACTAATAACAGGTCTGCTGGTATCTGTACCTTAAATACCTTCACTGCTGCCTCTGTTTATGGCTGTCAGAGAGGGTCAGACTTTGTCGACCCGCTTTCCTTCCTTGTGCTCATTGTCATCAGAGTTCAGATTGCAGCCCAGGGTCTGTCTCCCAAAACGGCACCCTCACACGAGGAAGGGCAGGTGCCTCCGGGCGCTCGGCAGCCTGGGGTCGGGGTGGGGGGGGCGGCGTTCAGCCTTCCGGTGACCTCTTTCGGTGCGAGGCTCTCCGCACACAGACCTGCTCTCTGCACACGCGCCACCGGGCCTGGGAAGCATGTGGTCTTAACGAATGAAGAGTTGGTTCTTTTGTGCAACAGGAATAAGAATTGGGGACCCGTGGTTTCCCCTTGAGTGAAGACCAATCAGGGCCCCAGAAGGTGCTCGAAGGAGGAGGCAAAAGCATGTCGTTTGTGGTGCGACCATGGCTACTGTTAGTTTTTTCCCCACCGCGTTTCCTTTACTTAAAAAAACAGCCAGATGTGTACATGGTAAGGAAGCTTGAAACACGCAGGCCTACATCTCCGTCCAGCTCTTCCCCGCCGAGAGGCAAAGCCACTCATGAGAAAACCACAAGGGGACTCCTTGCACACCCGGCGTAACTGTGTTTTCCGCGACGGCGTGTCCCCCGCTCTAATTTTTTTTTTGGTGGAGATCGCTGAGTCTCCCCATCTGTGATTTTTGTCGGGAAGAAGAAACTCTTAGAAGTTGAATGGTTGGATCCAAAAAATGCCTCTTAATTTAGAGGCTGACACATGAGCCAACCTCTTTTGAGGTTTTATAGCCCTGCCGTACGGGAGCACCTGTTTGCTGCGTTGGTGTGGACACTGTGTTAAAACTTCGTTTTCGTGGACCTCATCGCGTCTCAGCTTCATTTTTTCAAAAGCCGTCTGTGTCCTGCCCTCCTGGTGTCCTAGGGTGTCGGTTTTCTTCTGACTGATGTGCAAGAGTGCTTTTTGGAACGAAGCAAAGTAGCTGGTGACTTGCATGCCAAGTATTTTTCTCCAGTTTGTCGGACTTGATTTTTCTATACGTGAATTTCGCATTTTGTCCCATTTAGCCAGCGTTTCCCCTTAAGGCTTCTGAGATTTGTGGTATGCTTGGAAAGTTTTTGCCCACTCTGTGATTTAAAAAAAAAATGCTGTTGTCTGCTGCTGCCCCTCCGCTTTGCATTTTTCCTTCTAAATTTTTGATCCATTCAAAATGTATTTAAAGTTTTTGTTTTTTAATGTGTTGTTTATTTTTGAGACAGAGGGAGAGCGTGAGCAGGGGAGGGGCAGAGAGAGAGGGAGACACAGACTCCCAAGCGGGCTCCAGGCTCCGAGCTGTCAGCACAGAGCCTGACGCAGGGCTCGAACCCACAGTCCGCGACATCGTGACCTGAGCCAGAGCCGGATGCTTAACCGACTGAGCCACCCAGGCGCCCCCATTCAAAATGTATTTTCAAATGTACCTCTATCTTGTCCCAAAATAAATTCCAGTATCTTTTATGTTAAGTGGTACATTTCTCTCCCACTGACTTAGAAGTTCTGTCTGTCTCATCACCTGAGTGTCTCTTTGAACTTGAGTCTCTACGTCATGCTTTAAGTCGTGGTGTTTTATGATAAAAAATGCCAGAGCTGTTCCCCGATGACTTCCGGGTTTCTTTTGGAATGTTCCTCCCTATGCCTGCCTGTTGATTTTCTCCGGCCGCTGGTAACCCTTCTAAAAAGTTTGATGGTTGCATTTTGGAGACCGCATCGAACGTAGATTGGCACAGGCAGGGTGGACATCAGGCGCATGTGGCTTCCTCCTGTCCCCGAGGATGGGAACATCGAAGTTTGCGATGTAGATTTCGTCGTTAGTATCGGCACTGTATATGGATTTTTTTTTTTCCTCCTGAGGATTGTTTAAACATAGGAAAGCCCTTGATTTTTCTACTTAGTTTTGTACCCCAGCTACCTTGCTGAATTCTGTGGTCTGGGGGTCTTGAACCTTGGGCCTCAGAATTCTCTAGAAAGCCTCCTGAGGTGCAGATGGCAGGGCTGGGGAGGGACCTGAGAGTGGGCCTTTGTAAGGAGTCCCCAGGCTTCGTGTTTTGGCCCCTGTGATTTCTTCTCTTTCCCTCCAGCCTTATTGAGATCTGACGGATACAGGAGTCTGTGCAAGTTTGAGAGGTAGGTACATACAGCGTGTTGAATGCAATCGTAAACGATTGTGAACCTGGAAATGAGGATAATTTCCCTACTCTGCACTTTCTAGGCCTTTTATTCTTTCTCTTAATTGTATCAGCAAATTCTTTAAGAACTTCAGTAGCAGTGATAGGCCCTCACCATTCCTGACTTTGATGGAAATGCACCTGGCCTTTTACTGTGAAGCAGGGTGCTTTTCAGATACATTTCCACGTAAAGGAAGGATCCGTCTGTAATTACGTTCAAAGTTTCCGTCTAGATGGTGAATGTTATAAAAAGGTGAAGCAGGGTGCTTTTCAGATACATTTCCACGTAAAGGAAGGATCCATCTGTAATTACGTTCAAAGTTTCTGTCTAGATGGTGAATGTTATAAAAAGGTGAAGCAGGGTGCTTTTCAGATACATTTCCACGTAAAGGAAGGATCCGTCTGTAATTACGTTCAAAGTTTCCGTCTAGATGGTGAATGTTATAAAAAGGTTTTCCCTCTTAAATAAGGAACCCAAATCAGTAGGGCTCTAGCCGCTGAGCAGTGTTTGTATTTATTTTTTCTTTAATTTTTTTTAATGTTTTTATTTATTTTTGAGGCAGAGAGAGACAGAGCATGAGCAGGGGAGGGGCAGAGAGAGAGGGAGACACAGAATCCACAGCCTCCAGGCTCCGAGCGGTCAGCACAGAGCCCGACGTGGGGCTCGAACTCACTGCGAGATCATGACCTGAGCTGAAGTCGGACGCTTAACCGACTAAGCCACCCAGGCGCCCCAAGCTGGTTTGTATTTAAACTGCCAAGCTTCGAATGTGTGAATTCAGTTGGACTGGGTTCAGTACGTGTGTGTTCAAATAGGTTAGTCTGGGGCGTCTGGGGGGCCCAGTCGGTTAAGAATAAAATCCATTCTGACGATTTTTTATATCCTGGTAAGTTTTTCATCTTATGCAAGTTTTCGAGTTAACTTACGTACGTTTGACCAGACTACGTGAAATCTTTTGAGCTGTGGCTTTTTACTTCCACTTTCCCTACATTATGTTGTAGCAATTCTGTTTTTCTTTTAAATTAGTTTTGCTTTTATAGTATCTCCTGCTGTTCGTTTCTTTTTCCAGTTTGAGTCGATTGTTAAG